TAATAAGTATCGCTGATGTCGAGAAAGCATCGTTTCATATTTCACCGAACTGTTACTGTCGATCACGGATTTCTTTTCTTTTCATGTACGTGTGAAAGTGATGCATGATTTCATTCGAAAGAAGAATGAAAGAATATTAGTTTCATATGCTCAACAAAGAACAAACGCATGTGCCGATTGATCACATTCTGTGTGTACTATCTGTTTATTGTGAAGATGATACATCAGGGTTAGAAAATATTTCTTCGTGGAATATATGTCTCACATTTGGTTTGTTATAGGATATGGAGAATACTTTCAAACTATTCTTGTTCAACCACAATCGATTGAAGTTGCTGTTGGTGAAACGGTAGTTCTTGATTGTACTGTTTTCAATCAATATGGTGATGTTGCTTGGTACGTGAAGAGAATCGAGAAGACTTCGTAGTTGCGATGGAATATTTCTGTTACTAGGTGTAAAGATGGACATTGTACGATGGGACGAGAACGACCTTTATATTTCATTCCTCGATATGAAATCATCGGTGATAAACAAGCTGGTATGTATAGGCATGTAATGGAAATGTGCATTTCAGTTCTGTTCTTTAGGTATCAATAGCTTGAAAATTCGTCATGTGAACTTGGAAGACGATGGCATCTATCAATGTCAGATAGGTCGAACTGTTGAAGCACGTGAAGTTCTTTCGAATTTCGCTAATTTAACTATTCTGATTCCACCTGATCAAATATCTCTCACCTATGTTGTGCCTGATGGTGTCGTTGTCAGTGGAAAAGAATTTCGAATGCAATGTCAAGTATTGAACACACGACCAGCACCATTATTTACTTGGCAAACACCACCGAATATTCAAATCGTCAACGTTACCCAACAATCGACACCAATGACAAATAATAGTAAACTGTTGAAATCCATATCGACCATTACACTCATTGCGGATACAAAACAACATGGCCAAGAAATAAAATGTGAAACAACTCATGTCGTATTGAATAAGTCATTGGTATCAACAACAATAATTGCTGTTGACTGTAAGTCAGAGAGTACGACCTATAAGATCAAAACTTTCGAATTTAGATCAGCCTGTTGTGAAGATCACTCTGAAGCCAACACAAATGTATGAAAATAAGGAATATTGGTTTGAATGCACTGCAGAAGCTCGACCACCTATTACTGAACTCGTGTACGTATGAATAGATTGAAACTTCATCGAAACTATGTTTCATTTTCATGTTATAGGTGGAAAACGAATAGTAGTATTCTTCAGCGAATGTCACCCATGTTCGATGGAAAATATTTATTGGTTTTCAATGCTACCCGTCAAATGCATAATCAACACCTTTCATGTTCAGCATTGAATAGTGCTGGAGTAAGCGAAGATCTCGTTGTGCTCAATATTAACTGTATAGTTATTTCATCTTTCGACATTTCTTATGTCTTCTGTATTTCCAAATAGATTCACCACAATTCAAATCATTTCCCTCGCCTTACACATTGGTACGTTTAGGTGATTCATTGACTCTTTCATGCATTGTCGATTCTAATCCACCAGCGAATATTCTTTGGACGAAAAATGGAGATTTCGTCGGTGGTGGCAATCAATATCAAATAACAGAAGTACATGAAGAGGATTATGCAGTTTATGCCTGCATAGCTGCGCTCGGAGGACATTTCACTAAGATTATTGCATCAACAAAAGTTCATCCACCTGGTTTGTCTCGCTTAAGATTAGTATCGATGATGATGACGATGATTGATCGCTTCTATCGTAGGACCTCCTCATTTCTATCCACCACAACGCGTTTTGGCATCGAAAGGTTCGGAAGTTCTATTGAAATGTCAACTAGAAAAAGATATTGAACCAACTGTAAGACAAATCGTTCGTTTTGCCAATGGCAGCCGTTGTTTCTTCATTCGATTAGAATGCGTTTTGGATATTCCAAAATGTTACATTGATGAACAACATGAAGTATACAGTCATACCAGTACGAGATGTGAAAACGATTCCTCGTTATGAAATCGGATTGATTATTCATAATGTTGAAGCGAGTGACTTTGGCGACTACGAATGTCATGTTACTAATCAATATGCCACTGAATTTGCTCGTATTCGTTTGGAGAGACGAAGTATGTCTATGTCGACTTTTCTATTTCAAAGATTACAAGCATCGTTTCTTTTCATAGGTACTCACCTATTCATGCAACTGGCCATCTATGTTTTCATAATTCTTTTACTAAGTTTGATTTTATTTACATCGTATCTGTGTTGTCATCAGGCTTGTCGAGCAGAAAAAAGTAGAAAAGAAAGACTTTTTCTAGAATATTCGCCATCTACTTTTTCCTTTTCTTTGTATTAGAACGTACAACGATACGACGGATGCGGAGAGTTCAAACGTGGTTGACGAGTAAACCTAGCATGTGGATTCACAACTTAGCAGCAACAGAAAAGGTTTTGAGTTTTGTTCGTTCTCTATTTCAAATCATTCTTTTCAATCTTTATATAGATTCCACTAACAGTTTATGACATGAATTCAGGTGTTACTCGAACGACTCTTGATCCGCCTGTTGATATTGTCGAGTGTTATACAACAATGATGAAGGATCACAAAGATCATGAATTAACTCGAATGTCTTTTTGTCATGATGATGATTATGAAGATCAATGTGATCAGATCTATGAAACCCCTAATCCGACTTCTTGGCATATAGATGTTTAAAACTATGGNATTCCACTAACAGTTTATGACATGAATTCAGGTGTTACTCGAACGACTCTTGATCCGCCTGTTGATATTGTCGAGTGTTATACAACAATGATGAAGGATCACAAAGATCATGAATTAACTCGAATGTCTTTTTGTCATGATGATGATTATGAAGATCAATGTGATCAGATCTATGAAACCCCTAATCCGACTTCTTGGCATATAGATGTTTAAAACTATGGGGTTTTTTGTTGTTGTTAGAGAGCAACATACACATTTATATATATATATAAATACAGAATCATCCAAATCACCAAGTTTCTTTTTCAGTTTACAAATGAGAACAAAAACAACAAATGGTAGAAAAAAATGCGTGTCTATGTAGGATTTATCTGTACGCACACAAATACACACATGTACATACAATAACCAAATAAAATGAGACAAATCAAAGAAGATTCATATACTATTAGAGAAGTAGAAGGCATCAACTCTCACTTTATTGCAGATCAAAATCCATCTCGCATCTCTTTCACATATATACGTATAGGATCATAACTATAAATAAAAACCATGTGTTTTTCTATCAATATCAATATATTCTGTGTCTGTCACTCCCTTTCACTCACTTCGCACACACACACATACACACTTAACAACATTCAAAGAGATAGAGAGTAATCGAACAAAGAATAAGAACAAAGAAAGAAAACGAATGAGAAAAACGAGAAGAAAGTAAAACGGGAAAACAACAGTAAAAATAAAATAGTTGCTGTAACAGCTGTTCGCAAACGTACAAGAAAAAGAATAAACAAAAAAAAAACACAGAAGAAAAGGAGGATAAATCTGTTTATACGTATATGCAGATCATGTCCGTGTGTCATCATCGAGAATGAAAAGAGATAAATAAAAAAATTTGCTTCTTTTCTCGTAACCAATAGTCAACGGTCAATCAACAACATTTAACAGTGCGAAGAACAGCAGATAGACAGTAAAAGAAAATGAGCCCATATGTGTTTACATTCATAAAGACGGGGATAAACAGAAGAAGAGATATAGAAAAAGATCAATGGAGAAGAAAAACATGTTGTTGTGTGTGTGTATGTATTTTGAAATTATCTCACTGTTATTGTTTTATGCCGGGAGAAAACGAAGTAGAAGAGGAAGAAGAAGAAGAAGAAGAGGAGGCATTATCAACTGATATTGATGAACCGTTCGTATATTTTGAATACATAAAATTAGCAAATATAGCAATAAATATTGCTAATAATGTAAAACCAACAAAGATAACAATTGCCCATTGTTGATCTGTTAATGTTCGACTTTCGAATAATTGTATTGACTTCAATTTTCGACTCACTAATGAACGATAACGATTTATTAATGATACTTTTTGTTGTTCTGAATAGTGATTATCATTTGCTATATGAGTATTCGATGATCTCGATACGGATAGTGCTGCAGCTAAATCTTCTGCTCGTGGTAGAACAAAATGTGTTGCAGGACTGAATGGACTGGTCAATGTAACACCTTCGTTTGTCGAACGGATGACACATACACGTACACGATAATCAACACCGGCTTCTAAGTTTGTTGCTCGATAAGACGTTAATTCTCCATGATAGATTTCAATGTAGTCATTGTCTCGTCGATAGATTTGTAATTGAAGAATGTAACTAATGGGATCATTTCCTAGCGATTTATGCGCTTGCCAATTAAATACACACGATGTCGATGTAATTTCAGTGATGTTTGGAGCTAAACGTTCAACGAAGGAATAGTTATGCAGATGACATGGAATAGATAAGATATGTTCTACCTTTTAGTGGATTTGGTGGTGCTTTAGTTGTTGTAAATGTATGAATACCTGACCATAGACCTGCGCCTGAATCGTTCTTTGCACATATACGAAAATTATATGAGGTATTCTCTTGTAACTTGTTGATCTTGTGTGAATAGGTCGTTCCAGTATAAATGCAGTTGAAACTAAAGAGTCGAACAAATTAAATGGACATTTCAACCATTTGTGATTCTTTCACTGTGTTTACCTTCCATCTCTTCCTTCCATTTCAATGATGTATGTTATTGAACGAGAGGTACTCGTGGATGGCTCTGTTGACACAGATGCAGATGCTGATAGGACATGGTTGGTCGTACTGTTGTTCCATTTTAATTTTAATGAATTGCAGGTTACAGCGATACATTCTAGTCTCGGAGGGTCAGGTGGTAAACTTTTTGTTTGACTTTTAACAACTGATGAGAACGGACCAGGTCCGATTGTATTCACAGCTCGAACACGAATTCTAAAAGGCAAGGATGCTTCGCATTGAATAAGATGTTTTCACGTGTAACTCACCTATAGGCAGTATCAGGTAATACTTCGTCAATTGTGTATTCATTCAACTCAGCACTGACAAAAATCAACTCTTTTTCACCTATGTCAATATAATAACCAGTGATCGGTGACCCATTGCTGGACGGTTCTTTCCAAGTTATAGTCATTGATGTTGATTTAGCATGGACTTTTACCGAGGTGACGGCAGACGGGATTGTAGCTGGTGTAACGCATGAGGCTAACATACTGTATGGACCAGCACCAGCAGAGTTAACCGCCTAAATAATTTGTTAATTATGGTTGATATAGTTTCTTTCAGAAAAATCGACTATTTTGCTTACTTGTACTCGGAAAAAATAATGTGTAACCGGTGTGAGACCTTTAGCTTCGTAGGTGCAATTTGTTCCGCAGTAGAGTTGCATGAAAGCTTCTGCTTCTTTCCGTGACCATTCGAGACGATATTCTGTGATAGCTGCACCATTATTCACACCTTCTTCCCAACTGATTAGGGCACTAGTGGCTGACTGACATTCAACGAGGAAATTTCGCGGTGCTTCTGGCACACCAGGCCCAGAAAGAACATCGAGATACTCTGACCATGGGCCAGCCTGGAAAAAATGCGAAGCAAAATGACTAGTAACCCTGGAATTCAATGTGTATAACGTACTCCTGCACGATTAAAAGCGCGAACTTGAAATAGATATGGTCGACCGGGTAGTAAACCAGCAACAGCACAATCGAGATTACCTCCGCGATAGACGACACGCGATGAACTGTCTGGATTCGTTACTTGCACTTCGAATTCTATAACTGGTGCACCACCATCGTAATCTGGATAGGCTAAATGACAGAAGAATCTCTATAAGACTGCATTGTTTTCAATCATTTCGTACCCCAGCGAAGATTCAATGAATTAGCTTTGGGTTTGCCAGATATTTTCGGTGGATGACAAGATGCTGGGGCGACAGCGGGTGTTTTTATTTGAGTGATTTCTGATGGATCACTAAGACCGCCAATATTCGAACATGACAAACGAAGAGAGTATGAATGTCCAGGTGTCAGTTGTTCCAGTAAGTATTCTCTTTCCAATCCATTATAAGTAACATGAAAGCCTATATAAAAAGAAAATTCGAATAAGAACTCTGTTTAGTTTCCGCATTGAGAAAACATCGGAACATGACGAAATGGACAACGATATTCGGGCACTTACCATCTCCAACTAATCGAACAAAACGAAATTCAAAAATTAGTTTCTAGGATGCATTCGTTTCTCTTTTCTTACCTTTGGATTCTTCTAACTCAAGGTGATATTGTTGGATATCAGCACCACCATCATCTCTAGGTGGGTCTAAAATATTACAAATATTAAAATCGAACACGACATGATGAAAATTATCTTTTCATACCCCAAACAATTCGACATTGTGTTGCTTGTAACTGTCCTTTAATTCGAGGCTTAGCTGGTGGATCCGGTCGATCAGGTAATGTTTTATATGTGACAATCGCCGAATAGTTACTTTGTCCTTCTTGATTGTGTGCTGCCAACTAAATCATAATCATCATTAGACATAAAAAAAAAAGTTCAATTCGACTTACTCGGAACTTATATTCGGTATTTCTAAATAGGTCAGTAACTGTATAGTTACACAACGGACCCGTGTATTTATTGCGAAAATAATTCGCTTCATCATTCATTTGTAGAGTAAATGCTTCATCTATTGGGCGTTGAGCCCATGATAAAGTTAAGTGCTTGACGCCTTTTTCCACTAGAATGGGTGGATCTGGTTCGGTCGGAATAGTACCCAATGTACTATATCGAATTGTTTCACTAAATTCACTGAAAAAAAAGCCCAGAGAGAATCGACTGAGCGAAGAAAAATAATTATGGATTATTACCTTCGTCCAATACTGTTCTCGGCTGCCAAACGGAACGCATAAAACGTGGCAGGAGTTAGTTTACTTAGTAGGTATTGTTTCTTTATACCACGATACACTTCGACAAACTCTCGACCTTTACCCTGAAAACGAAGATTTCAAATGATTCTGAGGAAAGTTATCACGAACTAACCTCATCGTATTCGAGAATATAATTCAAGACTTTGGATCCATTATCAGCTGTTGCTGTCCATTTTAACGTCAGAGAATTTTTTACCCGACTACCCAATAGTTTAGGCGGAGCAGGTCGATCAGGTTCACATTGATCAGTTGTAAATGGAACGGGATTGGTGTATTCACCTTTACATGAATCAATACAAGCACATACTCTATTGTGAATAGAATTTAATCAACATATTCAGAAATAAGGTAAGAAGATTTACTTTAGATGATATTCTGTTGCTGGCTTCAGATCTTTCAACGTTATTTCGTTAGCATCACCACTAAAAAACAAGAATTTATCAAATATGACATGTCTAAACTTCAAATGATTAATTGGACATTTTGCCATGTCTTGTTATCGAAAACTGATAACAATTTTCTCATCCCTGGAGAGTAAGATGTTTTCAGTTAATCCAATTATCTAAAGCGATGCGAGATGCTCTTTGATCTTTGTCAACACTCGTAGATACATGTCATTTCATTATACTTATAGTATCTTTTCACAGATAGGTTCCAGACTCGTCCAAAGGCGAGCTAAACAAAACTACGAGTAGGTATCATTCGATTGGCGATGAAAGCTCCGGGAATCAGGAATGTTTCCCATCTTTCCGAGGGAACTCCCACCAGTATGACAATGGGAGAAAGAAAACGAGGCAGCGCAAACATTATTCTTACCAGTAGACTTGTTTATATTTGGCATCTTTGCCTTTATCTGACAATAACAGTTCGTAAATAAGATTAGTAAAATCGATCGAATATTCTGATTGTGATGACGTGGATGAAGTTGAACGTGGAGGTTGTATTCTTACTAGTACACTTCGACTTTCTATATCTTGAACCTGAGAAGAATCACGAAATTATTTCTATTTGAAGCAAGACTTAACACATTTCTTACGATGGGTAGAGATAATTTGGAGAGACACTTTTCTATAATTTGCCGTTCTTTATCATATTCAGCCGAAGATGTTAAATCAATTGATTCGGTTGTCGGTTGAACAACCATTTCTGGATAGAATGTTGAATAATGCGTTGGTGGTAATGGAGCTGCTGATGGATGATGGGGGTGATGATGAGCATGATGATGCTGAGGTTTATCAGAGCCATCTGTGATAGAATTATGAATATAGATTAGTCAAAACTAAATATGGTCTAACTTACTCAAAGTGCCATTATTTACATATGAGCTCGTGTTCGTATTGGATGATGGTACTCGTCGTTTTTGTCCAGAACTATTCAAAGTTCGTGTGTTAGATGCTACACCTGTTGTTGCACAACTGTTTGTGTTTGTATTATATACAGGAGAACGACGTTGTTGATTTGATGTGGAATTTGTTGATGATGTTGATATAGATGTATTTCCACTTGTCGCTGTCGTCGTTGTTGAACCATTACTTTCAGCTGGATGTATTAGACATTGTGAGGCTAGAAATGAAATGCACGCTAATGAAAATTTGCATTACAGCATTTCAAATTGATCATACGATTAGTAGGGGATGACGTATGATTACAGCTTGAACGTGATGAATATGATAATGTATCACCTGTGTAAGGTCCATATACATTTGGATTATGATATTGATGTGGATGCCCATACAATCCATTGTAGGGTGACGGAGAATAACCGGTATGCTAAAAGTAAGAAAAACAAAACAATTTAAATTCTATTTATTTGCTTTTGAAGTTTGTTTTTCAAGAAAAAGAGACTGAATTAATTAGAATACATTATTCTATAATATATTCGTCTATTTGCTTTTCCTCCTCTTCGTGTTCCTGTCCATTCATACCATGTGATGATGAGGTGGTGGAGGTGGAGGTGGTCCGGGTTGTGACATAATAACATGTGTTAGTACACCATTCTCATCAAGAACCTGTTGAACCATATGTCCAGGTGGCAAATGTAAGGGTAATGGAAAGGCTGGTCCGTTCTCTGAGATCATTCTCACTGTTGCAGGACCTAAAAACAGATAATAAAAATAGACATTCATGCACTGTTGATTATATCTCGTTGTTCTATGACGGGAAAAAGTTCCCGCTTGTCGATTTTCTCTTTGTTAAGACTACAAAAGAATCACATATTACCAAGCTGACTGCTCACATCAAGGCGAATACTTTGACGTATCAGCATCACGGACGTGGCATACCACCATCGGATGTAGAACAGAAGGCAGAAAAAAACGAGGAGAACCGATAGAGGATGATAAACTGTCAAACTTCGTACGTCTGTTTCATCAAAGGTAGAAAAGTCGAGCGAAAGGTCGTCTACGCCATACATTTGTGTTTATATACGTTGAAAAATAGGTAGCGAGATCAGAGGAAGAAAAACAGCCGCTGATTTGTACGACCAGTCAGATAGTGGGTGAATAGTTGGTGGGAGAAATAGAATCATGACGTCATTCAAGCAATAATTATACTGACGATTATCTTTATCCAGGCACGACTGCATTCTGATTTATCCATTAGTAATAGAGCAATGAGTCGAACATTCTCCTTTTTCTTCTTCTTCTTCTTCTTTCTCTCGCATTATGTAAAGGAAATTGTTGTTACTAGTTCAACATTTTCTCTGAACGAGTCATCGACGTTAGCCACGCGCAATCCACATCAGTCATAATCACGCCCTTCTCCTGCATTCACTTTACTCTTCGGTAGCTACAACGAGTACAATGTTATAATGATGAATCACGCATCGAGATATATACATACATACATATATATATATACGTGTGTATGTGTATATATACATATACATCTGTATGCATATACGTGTATATACGAGAACGAGAAAGACGGGCTAGTAGAATAATTGAACTCGGTTCAATTTAGAGAACAAAAAAATAGAGAAGAGAAAACTTTTTTTCTCTCCTCATATGTCGACATTAAAATGAGACAATTTCAAAGAAGGCAAAGAAATTTTTTTTCATCTAATCAAAAGTGCAAAAGGTCATTTGAAAACCTACTCTGCTGCTGTGCTTGCTGCCCTGACGGTTGAGTAGCAAGCCAAAGAGGCATTTGATCATGACTGGACGTAGTTGACGATGATGATGAATGAATTTCGCTATTACCATTCGAATTACTATTATTATTATTGTTATTATTATTATTATTATTGTGATTGAAACGAAATCGATGATGATCGAAAAGATACTGTTGTTGCTGTTGCTGCTGCTGTTGTTGTTGTCGTGATGGTGGTGGTGGTTGAAAAAACGGGTGAGTTAGATTTGGAGGCGAAGGTGTGGCAGTAACCAGTAGACGTTGATGTTTTAACGAATCGGGTGAAGACGTATTCGAAGAACATGATGACGTCGTTGGATAGAATCCATTTGCAGAAAAACATCCCATATCATACATGATCAATGAGATTAGAATAGTAATAATAATAATAGAATTGACAAGTTAAAATACAAAACAAGACAAATCAATGTTCGCGATCGATTTTAATTCTGATTATTATTGTTTTTGTTGACAATCAACCAATAACGATGACAAAAGCTATCTTTTGACAGGATGGTGTTCTCTGCACGCATGCGTCTCGGCCATAGGTCGTAGTTGTCCAATGTATTTTGCTGTACTATGTATGTATGTGCTCTTGCTCGTCGTTCTTTTTTCCTTCTTCTTCTTCTTCTTTTCTTTCGCTCTTTCTCCTCTCCCGTTCTCTTTTTCATTGTACATACAATTAGAACAACTGTAGAACGAGCGACAACGAACACACACACATACATACACTTATACAAAAAGAATAACGGAACACTCGCTGCTGCCACCGCCCTGTCCGCTCGTTCGCCTCCAGTAGCGTACTTTTTCTTCTTATTCTTCTTCTTTTTGTGCTTGTTCTTTTTCTCTCAAACTTCCCATTTAGTGGCGTGTAGCGTATGAAAATAAACACACGCGAATATACGATAGTCGGCCTATCTCATCAACTAAGAGTGATGTTTGTTTTCGCGAATAATTCTCTCCTATACTGAAGCACACAAAAAACGAAGAATAAAAAAGAGGAATAGAACATCGGCCATGAGCACACACACACATCTTCAAATTCATGCAGTTGACCATGAGATATACATATGGATATACATATACAACAATGCGGATTTATCGTTATCAACGACGAAGAGTTCGTAGATAGATGAGAAAGTGTGGAAGAAAACAAAGATGATAGCTTTGCCAATTGTCATTTGAGATATGTCTGATATCTTGAAATCGAGCGACAACTCAAACACCAAGATTTGCTGATCACCGAGTGAAAAACAATAAGTATATTTTCGGAATGAATTATTCACAACTTTAAGGTACTCTATTCGGTTTTGTCATGTCTTATGCTACATTTTCAATCAATTTTTATCTATTAATAAGAAAACATTTGCACAAATTTCTCTCGATTATATATTCAATCTTATATTCTAATCGACAATTACTATCGTGTTTTTCTCTATTGAATATGATTACAACAATTCTTTTTCTTGTTCAACCGTGTTTTCTCAGAAGAAACAGTGACTTACCATGTACTTCTTTGACTTCATTATCGACTTGGACACGAAAGATTTGCCCGGGCTTGACTAAAATCCGAGCAACGGATGAACGAGGTGCTCCTGACGGAAGGTCACCTGAAGTTGCTTCGGTAAATGACGCTTCAGCAGTGATCATATTCGTTGAATTAATTGTTGATGTTGATGTATCTGCTTCTGGTAATCCATCGATAGTACCACCAGCTGGAATATCAGTTTCTTCAGAGTCTGCTGGTGCGATTGGTTCTTGAATCTGTTCTTCTGAGATGTGTTCATCAGATGATACTAATGGTAATGAAACTGTATCATTATCTTGATTATCAAGATGGTTCGATTGTTCTACTGAATCAGATGTCGAAGTCATTAATAAATACTGGAAAAATACGATAAACAATTAGGAGAATAAAATAAAACAGCATTGACGACGACGATGATTATGAAAACCTAACCAAATCATCTGAAACATATGGAGATATGAGAAATAATTTGTAAGTATGATGCAATAAAACCAGACATTCTGTTCAACTCTCTTCATCATCATCATCATCAGCGAGTTTCTCTCTTTTTTTTCTTCTTTCTTTTTTCCTTTTTTCTTATTCTCCTCAACGATGAGGAACATTCAGAGACAAAAAACCTCATGTATGTTATTCTTGTGAACGACAACATCAACTAATCAAAAGCGAAAAAAGAAAAGAACCGTCAACGATGATAATCAAGCACGGACAGTTAGTCAACGTAAAACAAGTTTCTCTCTCTCCCTCTTTTGACAAGAAATAAATGATGTTTTGTAGGTGGAACGTGACTTCAGCAATCCTTTCCTATTAAATCAAGATTTCTTTTTCTCCTTTTGTTCTTTTTATAGCTCAATTCTTAACTCGGGACAACATTCCCTATCGATGTACGGTCACGAAAAAATGTAAAAGAAAACGATCTCTTCAACATTACTTTGTGTCAATATTTTCGTTGAGATTCGTCGCTAACGATGCTAGCTCACATTGTCTGCCATTTCTTTTTAATACACAGAAAAGGGAAGAAGAACCAATACAAATCAATCACGAGGAAGTCCAAATGGTTAAAAAAAAAGAAACAATTTCTACTGAACACAACTTCCACTCAACTCGTATTTCCTTTCTATGTAAAGTAACCATCGATTAGTCTTATCATTTTCAATATGTTTCTCATATTTGAATATACGTAATCTATAAATACACGAAATATGTTCAAGTATGGCATTCATGCCACGATAAGAGGAAGGAGAAAAAAATCTCAATAGATTTCACTTCCTATTTATTTTGAATCTTACCTAATAATGGGAAGAATAGAGGTGCTTATTTCTGTAAAAAGTCAGTCGTACTTCTTTCTTTCTCTTTTACATATCAATAAGCTTGAATTTATTGTTAACGCTATTACTTATGAAAGGTAGACAGACGAACAAATGAAGGGAAAGGATTTGCTTATAAGAAAAATACTCCCGCAATCAAGTTTCATTATATTTTTCGTACGAATTTCCTGTTGGTGTTTTCAAATAAACAAGAAAGAGTTGTTCTTCTTCTTCTTCTTCTTTCCACGCAATACAAACATATATTCAATTTCTCTTCTGGTTATCGTATTCCTGATGAAAAGAAAAAACAAAGACAAATTTAGATCAAGTAAAACTATCCGATTACTACCTTTTTCTACGTGGTAATAGTAGAAAGAAAAGCAATTCATTTCCATGTATGTTAGTCACTAACACGTCGATAGACTCATGCTCGACGCATACCGAAAAAATGAGATGAATATGAAAAATATTCTAGTAGAGAACGGAAGCGTGTCGCGTTGGTGTTGACTGCCATCGTTTGCGTTCTCGCTGAGAAATTATTAGGTTGTTCAGCAAATGAGAATGAGAGAGGGAGAAGACGCACATCTCTCTTCTGCATGTTGCCGAACCGGCAAAGACGAGTTGTTGTTAGTCGGAAAAGAGATGACGCGAAAAGAGGAAGAAAAGAATATATATATATATATATATATATGTAAAAAAAACTTATATTCTATTCTTTGTTCTGTTCTACTAACTGGCTCGCGGCCGAAAGACCTCTATGTTACAATGCAAGGACTTGATAATCATAGGAGAAAATGAAATTAAAAAAAGCGGAGGAGAGAAAAAGACGTGTATAGAGAGTGTGGGTGGAGGGAATAAAAATGGAAATAACAAATAGCAAGTGGCAACTTCTTTTAACTATATCGACTAATGAAACAATTAGCAAAGCAGAAAAGAAAAGTTTCTTTTCACATAAAATATGCATAAATTTATTCAAAATTTCATGTATTAATAACCTCCTATCTCTTATTCTTCTCGTTTGTTAAAAAAAGAAAGCAAGAGACCTGTCAAATTGCGATGTACATTAATTCTTTTTAAATATCTTTGTGTTCAAACGGATGTAAATACTAAATCTTTTCCTCAGGAAAAACGAGTGCATAATTTGGCTGTGATATCAATAGATTACGCCATATAACCTCTAAACATCGCTGATTAGACAGACGAAGATCTCTCATCAATAAAACAAATGATCGTTGCTTACTCGAAATCGAAGAAAACGAGATATTCACGAACGCAAATCTATTTTCGAGCACTGCAATCGACTTTTATCATTTATTAATCCATAAGTCAAATAGTAAAACTCATCTACACGTCTGATGAATCGATTTCACCTGAAAGAAAAAGAAATGAATGCATTTATATTTGTGCGTGGATTAAAAAATATTTTCTAAACTAAGTAACTTCATCTCGAAGCAATACCATTCGAATTATAAATAACTATAGAAATTATCATTTGACTGGCGCATATGTCTTGATGAAAGAAAATGCGATCCAGTCAACCTTGTAATGAAAACAGAAAAAGAAAAGACTTACGCATCAATACGAATGAAATTATTTATTTATTTATTTATTTTAATTACTATTCATTGGCCGTCTCGCGTTTACCATTCACACATGCGACAGGTGTCGCTAAACGGCTATAGTTCATCATGAATTTTGAACGATTGACGCAGAGTTGAAGCATAATCAGTTCTTCGTTGTGATGAGGGCACCTCGTGATACGCAGCAGACCTGTTAGTACGAGAATTAACCGTCGTCGATGGGCTAATAATAGTAATAATACAATTACGAGAAAAAATATGTTAAACCTAGAGTTCATCGTCGGAAGCTTATCGGGATTTTGATAAATGCTGTTAATCACTTCGTCATGTGAATATTGTAATCACACATGAAAACATTTATGATTATATTATCTCGACGCAGAAATATCGAGATGTGTTGGAGAATCTTATTAATTAGAAAGGAAGTTGTGTCATTTTACTTCAATTGTATGATGCATGAGGCGAAGAAAACATCATGCAAAAAGAAATCATAGCAAATATGAATGATTTTGTTCGATCAGCTTACGATGCACTTTCGATTTTCAATATGCTACATGTTAGCAATACAAATTTATTTGTTTGTACAAACAAAAGTTGTTTTAATCAAGAGTTTGTTAGAGTTTATGCTTTAAAGTACAACCTAATTGAAACTTTCAGGCTTTTTCCATGAATAAAATCGAGTGAATTGCCATAATGATTGCCTGATAGCAAATCTTCTCAAGGACGTACGGAAGTAAACTGAGCAACAAAAAAGAACTATAAATTAAAGCACTTCGTTACATTCTTCTTTTACTCGCAACGTACGAGAAAGTTGTGAAGTACATGGCATAAACTATTTCATTTTGCGTTCGTCTTGATAAAGATGTTTTCACTATGAGAAACAGAGAGGTAATGCTATACCCGCTTTATTCTACGAATGATGAAGGTTGTTGACTTTTACACCTTTTCTAATTTTTTTACGCCTCCATTTTTTGATATAATATCAAAACATGTTTCTTGAGAGTGAGTCATCGTCTTTTATAAATGCTTGATAAATAAGTTGATCGTGCAAGTTGAGAACGATGATATTCATGTGCAAACTTTATTTTCCTTCTCTTTACTACCTTTTTCTCTTGACAATCGCCTAGACAACGACATCATCATCATTCTCTTTAAATAATCGAGAACATTGGTAAGATTTTTTATTAGAAAATAGTTTCCTGCTCGAACAAGCGAAGAAAAGTGCAGACACAGCGCCAAATCAGTTTCTTTTAGTATTCTTTCCAGATTTATTTTTCATTTCAACGAAACATGGCATCAGGTGGTCACAGCGATTTAAAAGAAGTGTTTGACAAATACTCGAAATTCGGCAAAACTGAAGCTCAATTGAAGGAAAGAGACATCCGAATTGAATCGAAAAATATCCAGAAAATGATGAAAGACGGTGGTGTCATCGACAGTAAATACACGACTCAATTGCTTGATAATGATATGGCTCGAGTACTTGGCAAGCTGACAACTGGTGGAACTTATCAAAAAGGCATGTAAGTGAAAGAGATAAAATACTTTTGCACGATTACATTATGTCAATGTATGCAAATCTCGTTGTAGTAAAACATTTGAGTTGAATGGCTTCAAACTACTGATCGATCAGATCGCCGATTCGAAGAAAACAACGGCTGATCATATCATCTCGCAAATCAGTTCAACAGGTGGTCCAAGTTTAGCTAATGTTACCGTACGAGATATTCTTCTCGAATGTTTCACAGTCATTTTTCTATGTATTTCATAGGGCACAGCGAATAAGAATATTACCGATCGTATGACAAACGTCAGCCATTATACAGGTTCGCACAAAGAACGTTTTGATGCTGAAGGTCATGGCAAAGGCAAAGAAGGCCGTACAGATGAAGCCAAGAATAGCGGTTACGTCGGAAACTACAAAGGCGAAGGATCATACGACAAAAAGCATTAAAATGAATTCATAATGCATCAGAACATTCTACATGATAAATGACACTTCGAAAACGTTCTATAAGCATATATATCTCCGTGTTTTGCGTCTTGATATTTTTTTGTGATAGGCTTTTCCTCTGTTCTATCTGTTTCACTTGTAACCATACCTCTACTAATCTTGCACATCTAGTAGTAAAAATCATAATTAAAAATGCACAGGAAAATTTAAACTGTTCTGAATATCGGTTTACATAAGATTTCCTGACAAAGAAGGAGTACAATGAAGTGTAACAATGACGACAGTCTTAGTTTTTCTTTTCCATTGTACACAAAACCGGCCTTTCGTCGCGTTATTTTTTTCTCCACTCGATACACACACACGATGAGGGAAAAAGGAAAAAAGACGGGCGCAAAAAGAAAGAAAGGAACAAGAAAAATATACGTTCTCATTGATTCTATACATGTATATATATATATACGACTATCATTTATTCAAACGAGCTCAGTCTTTTTCCTTTTCACTTTTTATTACTTGTCAATTTGATAATATTTAATATTATTATCATTCAAAACCAACAATTAACAAGCGCACTTGTTTCTGTTGTATTGTCGTCACTTTCCGACTAAATCAAGTAAGTTTTTACGTCAAACAACGATCTCTTTTCTCTCTCTCCCCCTTATATTTGTCATCATGACGTCATGTTTGTTGGCAGGAAGAAAAGGTTTTTTTCCTTGTTACAGTTACGGAAAGTGAAGCAACATGATGACCCTTTTCTTTCAAAAACCCAGTGATGGAGAAGTACATATCAGGTTATATCTGACTGCTTTTACGAAGTATAGGTGAAATAAACCCAGTTTATATAAGACAGTCAATAGCTAAGCAGTTGATTTGACAAGTTGAATGTTGATAAATTTTTGAAATATTTTCACCTATGAATAATTATTGTAATCATTTCACCTCCGCACTAAAACTGCATATACCTGACACTTATTTATAGCAGAAGCGTAGGAGATGAATGAGTTCTCTTTCGTTCTGCTGTTTTTCTCTTCTCGACATTTTCATTCCAATCAATACATGTTTCTTTGTGTCTACGATAAGAAGATCATAGAAATGATGTAATTCTTTTCTTGTTCTTTTTCAGTTATTTTCAAAAGCTGATGAATTCAACGATTGCCAATCAAACAGTGTCAGGAATGAACTCATCGAAAATAAAATTTGAAAGTGTTGATTCCGTTCTTCATTTTTTGAAAGAACCTCCTCCGTCCGAAGTAGACTCTACTTCAAGTTCAGTTAATTCTACGAAAACGAATCTTGCTTTGAGATCCAAACAAAAAATCAAAAAGGAAAAAGAACTTGCACAAGCCAATGCTGAAGGTACAATTCAAATTCTTCCAACGGGTCGTGTCAGGTAAAGAGATTCTGTGAATAATAGACTGATTAAAGTATCTGTTAACTGATTAGATATGGCCCGATAACGGTTAATCCGCGTAAACAACCTTCAAAAACTTTATTTACGGGTCGCCGATCGAAATACGAACAGCTTAATGGCGATGACGAAGAAAAACGTCGTGTGCGACGTGAACGTAATCGTATCGCTGCAACGAAATGTCGTGAAAAACGTGAAGGTGTTCTATCAAAACTTGAACTTGATCATCTTCATGAATCACAACTGCATACGCGCCTACTACAGAACGTTTCACAATTAGAACAGAGAAAACAGGCTCTTCAATCAATGATATCCACTCATATGCTGGATTGTACGCTACCACAAATCAATTCCATAGCAATTCCGCCACAAGAACAACCCACTATGGTTTTTGGCGATTCAACTTTTCTTACATCGATTAGAGAAACACATGCTCTTCCACTTCCTTCTCACCAACCACAGCTAATATCCCACGGCGAAGAAGAGTGTAGTAATTTTCTCCAACCAGCACCCGTACTGACAAATTCAGTATATGATTCAGATCAATCCAACTATATATATCTCTCAGAACAACAATCTCACCCAGAAACAATAACCATGTATTCAAGTAGTATCGAACGTTTGATCAATAGTATTGAATCGTCAGCAGCATATGTCGATAATAATAATAATAACAACAACAACACATCTTCAGGTCTGTTTAATTCAGCATACGGATCATCGACATGTGCTCAACAACATTCAAGTTCAAGTGAGGACGGTTCGTTGCCACCAACAAAAAAGAACACTTTTGTATGTTAATGAAACCAATTCGTCGATGACAGATATAATCTAGTAGACATTCGTATTGGTTTGTTTTTCTTCATTTTTTTCTAGTCCCAGCTGACGAATTCGCAATGATTTCTCGTCGTTTCTTTGTTTTTTCATTTTCTGTAACTCTCTGTTTATTTTCTTACTAATCATGGTACCGAGGTTAGCCATTGCGTGAATTTACTAACAAAGAGCAGTACTTTTTGCGAATTAAACAAAATTTTTCGTTCTACATTATCCTCGTGTGTTATTATTTATTTGTTTTCCTCAATAAAGTTACTTTCAAGTCGACGGATCCCGACAATCTATTTGAAATGTTTCTCGCGTTTTGATATTATCGATAGATTACCATTAAGCATAGACTTGACAACATGTTTTCGAAAAATTCGTGGTAAAACTTGACCGAAGCACTGCATCAGTGTCGGGTTTTCTTGACATGTTCGATGATAATCATCGAAACTGATCACACCATCGTGATCTTTATCGAATTTTTTAAATATTAGTGTGATAAATTCGTGCAGAATCAAATCTGCGTCTTCCTTTTCATTCATAATTGGCAGATCTTTACGTAAGAATGTAAATAACTCCTCTCGTTGTAAATTTCCATCCGCGCTGACATCATACACACGAAAAATCAATTTAATTTGTTCGTCGATCGATGCATATAATAGCAAATTCATAGCAGATAAGAATTGTTTTAATGAAAGTGTTTTTTCGCCTTGACCAATTAAGATAAACAAACGTTCGACGATCGTTTCATCGTTAAGGTCAAATATCGTAGATAAAAAGTCACGAAAATGCTCGCGCGACAATTGATTACTATTATTATCGCACAGTTTATGAAATACTAACGTTAAACGATTGATTTCAATACCAGATTCATCGAAATTTAACGAAGATAAAAATGTTCGATCGAATTTCTTCTGTTCAGCATGTAAACGATGCAATGGCATTTTGATGATTAGGAATTCTGCGGGAAATATTTACGTGAAAAGTAAACGAAAATCTCTTCGAGAGTACTGTTTTCTCGTAAGATGTCAATTATGCATTATTGAAAACGATTTCCGAACGGTGATCTTAAACAGAGTCAAGATGTTCATGTTGTTTTGTCACTGGAAATCATAACAGCTAAGAAATATTGATTACTACAAATTTTACGAGTGTTCTTGAGGTCTTTCGCATGTATCGAAAACAATGGTATTCTATTCTTAGACCGATTGATTGGAGTATCGAATCACTATCGATATGACTCCGTTTATCTTTTCCTATGTGGTTAAGCAATGTTGCATATATTAGTGACATCTCGTGTTGCTGTAGAACATTCTCGAACAATCTTGAGAAGTCTGTCTAAGATCGAATGAGTTTATTTTAAACGGATTGATAACACAAATGATAGAGCGGTGAAAAAAACATTGAACTATGAATGATTTTATGTTTTGATAACCGTTTAAAACAGTCGAGCTCCATAACCGAAAGTTGACTTGATGCTTTCGAAGTAGAAGCGTCTCCATCCCTCCTAAAAACATTTCAAACAATAAAATTATTCTCGAACTGTTCAATTATTCGACAACTTACTATCGTATTGTCGTAGAATTGTGTTGGTACACCCGTTTGTTGTACAATCAATTTCGTTTGTTCTGTATCTTCCTCAAAGATCAACGAAACATGTGAATAATGTTCTGCAGGCCATGATTTAAATCGCCATAACATATCAATACGATCGTAAGGAATGATATCGAGAAAACTTCCAGTTATGTTATCACCAAATAATGAAAATTTACCGCCTTGCTGACAATCATATTGTGAAGCACTGTTTTGTGTAAATGCTTTGACCATGTTGATATCTGTAAATGTCTGGAACAGTTCGGATCGTGGACATTTGAAGGTATCTTCGACACGTAATTCTCGGGTTTCGAATGATGTTGATTTATTAGTTGATGATGATGATGATTGAGACGTTGAGGATGGTTTTGATGTTGTTCCAATATTTTTGTTAGTAGATGAAGATGATGAAGAAGTGGCTTTTGTATTTGTTGAAGTCGAAGAATTTTTTGTTGGTAAAATGAGACCTTGCGAAAATTCTTCTTTAAGTAAACGGACGTATTCTCCAAGTTTTTCCCGTATCAGAGGTTCGCCTTTGATCTTCATCATTTCTTTTAATTTGTCAGCTTTGGATTTTTCCGCTGAAAATGTGATGTTTACTTCATGAATGTCATTCTCATCCGATAAATTTGGAACTTCAAATCCGCCTTCGAATTTTGTTCGATTTTCACCTGTACGGACTGAACCTTCCCATTTACCTTCTATATGCCATTCATACTACAAAATAAACTCGACGGTAGATTCATTTGAATGAGCATAGTGAAGTTCTTTCTTACAAGAAAAACAAGTTTTGCCTTGCGATTATTTGCTGACGCTTCACCATCACATTTCTTCAATTCTTTTACTTCACATATAAACTGTTCATCTTCCACTTTAAGACCTATTAGGAGTTCATTCAATTTGTCTTTTGACCACTGTGTCGCATTCTTTTCTTTCCAATGCCAATTATTTGGATTTGTTGCTGAACAAAACGAAACGAATGATTTCTTGGAATGTCTATAATGAGAATTTACGTTTGTGATTACATACCATCAGGGCGTTCTTCTACAATCCAACGCGGATCACCTTTTCCCCATTCAGCCATTGTTTTATAAGCCTAAGCCGTGTCAAAAATCAACAATCGTGTGAAAGTGCCAGGTAAGTTTCTATCGATTTAAGTAATTCGACAACCGTCGGCCGTGTTTGAATAACAGAAATGATTTCACTGGCTTGCATTTGATTCGCTTATAAACGCCAATAGAACACAAACACGATTGGTTTGCCGTAGGGCCAATGGTACATCGTTTATGCGTTTTCATTCGTCACCCAACAACCAATTACATCAGAACTCTGTGTGTCTGTCGGAGAAGCACACAGTAAGCGAGTTTTACAAAGAAAATTGTAAAAAGTTCTTTGATGAGTGCTATCGAAGATTACGAAAAGTATCCTCAACATTTAAATTCTTCTCTTAAACGACATAAAGAATTTTACCAGCAGTTCGTAATTTTCTGAAGTATTCTTGTGTGCAGATATCAAAAGACTTCGTTTGGGATCTAGTAAAACGAACATCTTTTGGCCTGTAAATATCATATTCCTTCTACATGCCTTTTTCGCTTTCTTACACATGAACGAATCGTTTTCGAACAAAAAATGTTAATAAAAAGGAAAGAACATAGCAAACTATCAGCAATACTAGATAAAAATCCATGCTTTACAACTGCTCTAGACTTTCACGTGCAAATCAAGTACTTATTTTTCAGGTATGAGTAACTATGTTATTTATGAGTCATGTCAATAATACTTTGACTATATAAACTAAATAACGTCATATTCAAAACGCACATTCAAAACGCACATTCATACGATCGATGTCAGAATCGAAATCGACACTTGATATTCAACGCAACATTTATGAACAATTGTATTCTCAACATCAAGCTACTAGACGAGAACATCAAGACAGTCTCATTAAACCGCTACAGGATTTAAATGAAGAAGTACAACATTGTTTAGCCGCAGACAAGGGCACGTACGCAAAAGCGAAAGAAGAGTATCATCAAGACTTCAATATTTTCAAGCGTGCTTTTACCAGTGACGCTTCAGAACGCGAGGCAAAATCGGTGACACCTGTTAAAGAAATCTATCATGAACGAAAAGATCTAGCTGGAAAAGTTCTCGAATTACTCAAGGAAACAACCCAAGAAGCAAACCCTATCGAATCTCGAACGTATTGGAATGGTTCCATTGCAGTTGTATACAATCCGATAACTGGGCGTGCCGAATGGAAACAAAACTGGCACGGTGGTATTCACGGTGTGTTCAATCCTTCGACTGGTACCGTTGAATGGCAACAAGCATTTCACACTGGTGTCTTTGGAGTGTTCAATCCGAAGTCAAACATGGTCGAATGGAAACGGAATTTCAATGGCGGTGTACATGGAGTCTATAACCCTTCTACACAAGAAATCGAATGGAAATCAGCGTTTCATAGTGGTGTTGGCGGTGTGTATAATCCACTTACCCATCAAGTAGAATGGAAAACAGCATTTAATGGCGGTGTCGTTGGATATTTTGATCACCAAACGCAACGGGTCGAATGGATAGATCAATGGCATCATGGAATCGCGCTAATCTTATGGGATCCAACTTCGAAAACCTATTTAACAACTGCTAGTTGTGGTTGGTATGATAATGAATAAATGTTTTTGTTGGCCACATACGAACAAACCGTTAAATCTCAAATTCATCATCTTTCAGAATATTTTTGTCGAGACGGTTAATGTTATGTTTTTCTTTTTTTCATAACTATGCACAATTGATTGAGTAACAATGATCTTTTGTTATTATTTCAATATTCACATAAACTGTAATAGAGCTAATCGGCTGAATACAATAGCTAATCTCTTTTGTCTGAAATACTTATTTCCAATCGTAACAGAAGTAAAAGATGAACTGTTGTTCTCGTGACGATGACTTTTATTTATATGTAAGTTTTTCAGAGAAGAAAATGTCTCGCACTATTGTGCAAAACGTGTGAAAATTGAATTCGAACGTGTCAAACAGCGATTTTAATCTTAATTTGCTCCAAAATGATACACATCTAAATGGGTGAATTAATTGATCAATACCGATCATATTTTGCATAGAAATATGGATACTATTCTTCGTTCGGAGGATCAATTCGTCCTCTTTGATTATCTATCTGAATGCATCATCGCTCTTTCTAAATGGTCATAAAAGAGAAGAAAAATACGCATATACATGACCATATCGGCTAGGCGAGTCTGCACATATATTCTCTTCTCTTCTGACCACATTTATTCATTCGTTTCTCTTAAACAGTTTGTATCGGTGTAATCGTAAGTACAATCTTCCAAATGCTTTTGTTTTTCAAACACTGTAAATCCTAGATGTCTGTCATTAATCACAATAAAAAACTCCTCTTCTCAAACTTATCCTACAAGACAACTGAACAAACGCTAACAAACTATTTTTTAACGTACGGTTCAATCGAAGACTTAGTTTTGTACAAAGATGACCAAGATCAATCGTTACGTAAAGGTTTTCTTATCTATCAAGACACCGACTCTGTGAACAAGATCATGTCGAAACGACCTCATTATATTGATGATAGACAAATTCATCTTCAACGACCCATACCAAATCAATATCGAACTAATCTGCCGGAGCAATTGGGATTAAATTTAACAGTTAATGAAATTTTTATTAGTCGTCTGTGCTCGGGTGAGCAACGCGAGATGTTAATGGGCTATTTTGAAAAATTTGGAAAAATAATTGATTGTCGAGTGTTTAATTCACATTCAAAAAATTCCAATCAAGCTGGCTATGCATTTCTACGCTTTCAGGATTACGATAGTGTTGGTAAGAAATTCAATTTCAACGGAAAAGAAACATAATGCGAGATTTTCCTTTCGTTTTCAGATCGGATTATTCTCTCAAGACCACATGTGATTCATTCGAGATTTTACAATATTAGAAAATGTATACCCAGAGAGTATAACTTTATCATATCGTCAACGAAACCTATTAGTCAGAATAAACCCGCATGGCGTCACTTCGCATTTGGTTTGATTAACACTAAAACACAGGAAATCACTTATCCATCGCTACCTTCTGTTCAGTGAGTTTTCAGTGTTTGAAGATATAATTCAAAGACATTTTACTCTATAGACATGAAAGACGCCAATCTCCAGCGAACGATTTCACACTGGTTGATCCACCACCATCTACAGCAGCATTAACTGTTTCGGTAGACCGAACAGAATTGAAGAAGAGTGCTACAAATGATTTTGAATTGATCACAAATCATTCTCTATCATCTAGCAGTATATCAATTGTAAATTCGGACGATGATTTCACGCCCTTAGCATCGCCTCTCTACTCAACAGCGATCGCTTACTCACCCTCAATATTCGATCACGAGGATCGAAAAAATTACGAGTTAGTCTAAGGAGTTTGCTTTGTTTTTCTTTTTTGATGTATTTATCTGGTGTCTGTATAACGATATACGATTGCCTTTCTGGTTTGTATGGTCGAATGTCACTAACACGTGGATATGCATAAATACGTGTCTAATATTATTCTTATTGTCTTTTCATAAAATTTGTTTTTTTTTCCATTCATATGAATATGTAACTATATTTGATAACTAATAAATAATATATGTATATAAATGTGTACGTTGCTCTCTAACAACAAAAAAACCCATAGTTTTAAACATCTATATGCCAAGAAGTTGGATTAGGAGTTTCATAGATCTGATCACATTGATCTTCATAATCATCATCACGACAAAAAGACATTCGTGTAATCAAAGGTGGTGGTGGTGGCGGAGGTAACAATGGTCGAGTTAATTCATGATCTTTGTGATCCTTCATCATTGTTGTATAACACTCGACAATATCAACAGGCGGATCAAGAGTCGTTCGAGTAACACCTGAATTCATGTCATAAACTGTTAGTGGA